TATTCGTAGTAACCAATACTTTTGTAATAAACAAGAATGTTGCACAGCCGTGATGGATAGAGGACAGTTGTATTAGGTAAAAAGCTTTTACTTTGTTAAGGTACAGTGTTATGTTGACGTAATGAACGATTTCAAAGTTAATATACATGCTTTTATAGTAATGAAAAAATAAAGTTTTATAATATGTGATATAATAAACTCAAGATATTTCCAAATCAATAAAATTCAAACTGAAATATGAATAACATAAAGCAATAACTGTAGAGTTACGAAGCTGTTTGTATTTATGTACAAGGAAATAAAAATGTAATAAAGCCTTCATCTGTACAAATACAACATATAAATACCCGTCAATTTTACAGCTTTTATATTCTGCGCGTAAAATTTTAAGACGTCGCAGCGAAGTGACTGTACGTTGTATAATGTTGTTCATATAATGGTTGTTATTACGCAATAATATATAAAAGATATATTTAGAAAGAAAATTACGCGTATCGACCAGTGCAATACCACGATCACACAGAAGACAAGTCCAGTTGAAGTAAATCCACGTTTCGTTTGACAAATGTGGGTGACGGAGGCCTAATTTTACTCCTCTTTTCTTTTCCATCCATATCTTATAAGGAAAGGATGGGAAGGTGAAGTGGATTTGATAGAGGAGGAAATGCATGAGACGAAGAAAAATTGCCTTTCTGTGCGTCTCCTGCTCCGTACATCTGCAATGTAGAGAGTTCAGTTCCCAAAACAACATAACATTAAGTTGTAGATTCAAAGTTTAAGTAGTCTGTTTCCCCCAGTGACCGTCTGTTCCGAACTGTGTTTTCTCAAAAATTTGAAAAAACAATAAAATCCTGAATAAATATTCAAATAAAAATCATGTTACTTTATGTGATTATGTAAAAATTATAATCGCGTTTTGGTTTTCCCTTTGACACTTGTGGTTGATGAATGGTTTTAATCTGCTTTTGTCGAAAACAGAGGCCGGGAATTTATTAATTATATCGTTCGGAAAATGTATTGTTATACATTATATTATATTCTTTGAGTCTGTTAATTAATCAAGTCGTGTCTCGTTAATTAACTGTCGATAAATAACAAAAGGAATTTTGAAATTAACAATTAGCTATTTTCATTTTAGAATTAATTCAATTTATATATATAGTTAATTGTGTCAAATTTTCTCACAAATTATAACATTAATGTATTACCTACATTTACAAATATTATTTTAGGCGTAGTTACATTTTAAGCGAACGGAGATTTTAATAAATCGTGGAATGAGAAGAGATTGTACTCGTAGTTTGTGACAGAGAATATGTCTCGACTCCAGGCCGGACCCGCGACAAACAGAGCGGAATGGGACGAGGGTCGACCGACGCCCGCACGTATTTTAAAATGGAATTTTTTAAATAATACGATGTCAGTATAAAAATTGTGTTACCGTCGTAATATCCGTGGGTTTCTGAGATGAAAATCTGTCTATAAAACATCATCGTCCCTGTCATTTTCTCTGACAAAACAGATTGAGGTTGAGTATTGTGGTCTCCGAAACCCACGGTAAGGATCGTAAATTTTTACAGTCCTTTAATGTTTATTTCCATACAAAACATACACTAAGTGAGACTTAATAACGTTTAACGTTTTACGTGAAAAATACGATTACTTTTCCCTGTCTGCAACATATTGCATTTTTAGATTAGATCCGATCTTTTACTTTGTTTTAATAAGAAAAGACAAGTCATCGTCACTTTTAAGCATTAAGTTAGTAAATAACACTTTACTTCTCTTGATAATGGTTCAAGTTTATAAAAAAGTACATGAAATAGCACAAACTTTACTAAACTTAGTCAAGTTATAACAAAGTCTTATCAACAATGAAATGATCTTTATTAACGAGTTCTCCATAAAGTTACTGATACAATTAGCTATTGAAATAGATTTAACCTCCAAAGTATCTTGGAATTCGGGACAATCGGTTTATGTTGAATATGAGATTTAATTAAAAGTTAACATTTCTAAGGAAAATGTTTTCACACAAATACTCAGAAGAATCATGTTCTGTCACAAGTTCGAAAGATATACAAAACATGACTTCACTTTATTCAAATATACATCTTGTTATAAAAGTTTGTTTGATAAGAATTGTAAGTATATTCGCGGTAAAGTTTTGTTTTTCAACGCTTGCGTTAATAAAAGAAATGTTTAATTTAATAAAAAAAAACTTACTTAAAGATACCAAATACAAATCAACCAAATTTTTTAAGTGATCGTTTAAAAAAAACTTTTTTTAGTAATCTAAATAATACAAAATTTTAAACAGATGTTGATATGTTTCTACTAGACTTGAAATAAAATAAGTACCATGTAAACAGTAGTAGAGCGAAGTGGACAGCAGGAGATTTGCTTTAGATAATAAATAGTTTATGCACATGTTTAGCACCAGAGACAATATTTCATTTTATATAAATCCTCGCTCTATGCTCTCTGGAACAGTCTGCCATTTTAACATATATAACAATTAATTTAATTTTACATGTATGCAGAGACATGTATAGAACATTAATCACCGAGGAGCACACCATGTCAGGATTTACGACCGCGCTATTGATACATTCGTTTTGTAATGGCTTCACACAGGGCTGGTTTTAGCATTTCCGGTGCCTGGGGCAACATTTTTGCGGCGACCCCTTTTTTGGTATCGGGGGAAATCTTCTAGAGATAGAGTATCTTAGGAGGCGCCGCAGTCGCCCTTCTATATTATATTCGACTTAATGTAAAAGAAAAAGAAGAAAAATTTAATCAACCACATTATTTTTAATGTTTCAATTCTCCTAATCCTTTTAAAATCAATAACTTAATCATGCAAATATTCAACAAAAACAATTCATTATATATGAAAAGCGAGCTTTTCATTTAGTTAAATCAGGTCAGTGAACTACCGCGTCGAGGGACAACCCTATCGAATGAATTTTATTTTCCGTTATCATGCGATCTTATATATTATTACGTAGGCAGGCGCTCGGGGAAAATACATAGACAATTTAATTCATAAAACAATGTTATAACCTGAATAAATAATTGTAAATTTTGTGCATCATCCCCAAATCACCAACATAATTTTATTCATAAAATCACACATTGTACTATTTACAAAATTATAAGTAAAACACTAAGATTAATAAAGGCTTTCTTAGCAACACAATTAGAACAAAGCTTTGATGGAGAAGCGGAGTAAATTATATGGGAAAGATTGTGTGGGTTGTAGACAATGAAACTGAATCAGGCAAGTCACGACTAGCAGCAAAACAATGGAGAGTTAAGGAACAATAAGAAAATATCTGAGAAACTTTAATATTTAGTAAACACAGATGTGGAATCTCTTCTCTATATTGTAAGTGGACTGACTGAGCGGTAAGTCTATTCAACTTAATACACTTGCGGTATATCTTTTTAACGTTATACACTTAAGTGTTACTGAGCTAAGTGTAACGTATTTACAAAACGGACATTTATCAAATACACAGCAATATTATATAGACGTAAAGTGAATAAAAGTGTAAATATAAGTTAAAAGCGTACATATATGACAACTCCAGTAATACTTTTATTTCTTCATTCTTGGAGCTTTTAGATCAAAGCATTAAGCTTTTATTGCGTCGAAAGCTCGGCCGTTAAGCCAGGCGACGTCGTATCATCGAACTAGGTCATCGGAACTTGCACGTTGTGGCCACAAGTTGCCTACCTAACATACCTGTTTATTTACCTGCACTTGTGAACTTTGTACGCTAATAGTGTTTATTTGGCTTCATATTTGATAAATAATATTATGGGGAACGTGCTTATTTATATAAAAACATTTCAAGTAAAAACTTCATTTACGTATCGATGATTAGTTAGTACCAGTTGGCACCATATCGAACGCACAATTTACAAACCATAAAAAATCGAGACGATTTTGAAATATAATACTTTAAGTGTGTTCAGCAGTAACACGTGACGTTTCCGAATAAAGATTAACGATGAAAAGCTTTCCTTGAGAGTCGCAAAAACCTTCACGTCTTGAGTCCCCGCCGCCTCCCCCGTTGCAGGTAATCAGACCCTCGTCCCGGGCCGTATTAAACGCCGGAATCAGCTCCCTCTGAATGTGTAGAAAGGGGTCAATAATAAAGTTTAAGACACGATCCAAACTACACATGGTACTTTTTCAATCTTATTGCTGCCTATGTACATACATACTTTAAATATATAACTAATATAATATAACCTTCCCTTCCTGAATAAATTAAAAAAATATTCTAAAAAGTACAATGTAATAAAAGAATAAAAAAATAACAAAAACTAAGTTCGTTCGTCATACATAGACTTTTCACTCTAAAAATAATATTAATAATTTCCGCGCTAAAGTTATTTTTATAAACGACACATTGTGTATAGACTGCCTTAGAATTGCTAACTGTTTCAATCAACGTAAAGGTCTAACTATAATGTCTTGGAAGCTTTCAAGTCTCCCATCACGCGTATGTATGTTGATTACTTGTCAACTAGATATTATAAGCTGGAATTACTTTCTTGTTTCGGTTGTACCTTGTACCTACAAAGTAAAAGAGGTGCACGGCTCATAGTAATAAACGCTTAGTAAATTGTATTAAAACCATAATTTATTAGGCCACAAATTCTTTATGATCAACCACATGTAAATAATAATCATAGTGGTGTTTTTTCGGGGAGGCCAGCCAGGCCGCCCAGCAGTGGGCGTCACGTGTATATCTGTCACCGTAACTTTACACTGGACCATATATTCTTCGTTTTTCTGAGAAAATATTATAAATCACCATTTTTCGATATTGATGATTTATGTTTTGAAAATTACAGCCACTGTTGTTGTGAAATTATTTTTTTTACATAACTTACTATCAGTAAACGTTTTTTCAGTTACTTACTCTATGCACCATCCTTTGAAGTCAAACGTCAAAGTCAAATTTATCTGTCATTATCAAAGCGTCACGCATCCGTCATAGTGCTTGGCATTAATGTTAATGTAATTTTCCCCTTAATAACTAAATATTATTTTATTATGTTTATGAAATCGTATCATTAAAACTTTGGAAAAGCGTATTAGCCAATTTTAGAATTATAATCTAATCAACATGAGTAAGGCAAATCCGCTCTCTGGTTTACTGGCTAATTACGGCGACTCCGATGACTCGGACGATGAGATGGTTCATGCTTCATACGGTGTACCTAGTAAGAAAATTAACACAAGCGTGCCTCCAGTAGGCCAGGATCCTACTCCCAACTTCGCTGGTATCCATCCTGCTCCAATACAGCATTGCCGTGAGTATCTAAACTTTATGAAATATCCTTGTCAATCTTAGCTAAATATCAAAGTCAAAAGAAATGAATTGAAAGGGGGATACTTTCCATTCATTAATTTTCTATATTGTTATGGTAATTCCGAGACAAAATGCCAAGACTAGTGAGTTGCAAATTATCATGTTGCTTGTAAACTCTTTTAGATTTATAAAAGTTTGTGAGAGTGAATATTTAAATAGCTTGTTTGATTTACAGCGTGGTCAGCATGCTATGACGAGAGCAGTGGATTTACATATTATTGGAACCAGCAAACAAATGCTGTAACTTGGGAAGCACCTCCGGAATACTTACTTGCTTTGAAGATAGCACAGCAACAGCTGCACTGTGCAGGTAACTAAATATGTGTTATCAATACAAATATAGGAAATGTGTTAAATTGAGATCATGTTAGCTTTCACACAATCCATCCATCTCTTCCCAATCCTACCTCTACTGATGTATCCCTTCACATTCATATTTATATCAAATTCCCATTGTCTTTAGTCACTCATACATCCTTGTAAAATGTCAATATTTGAAACAAATGCATTGAAAATTTAAGTTTTGTCAGTGAAAATAATAGTTGAGTTTATCAAAAAAAATGTTTATCTTTTTAAGGTGAAAAAAAAAAACAGTATTCAATTTGTGATTACAGGCTCAGCTGAAGTGTCCGCTGAAGAATGGCAGTTGTATCAGCAGGTGCTAGCAGAGAAACAGAATACACAGAACAAAATGATAGCCAAAGCTGCGATAAATAGTCTAAATAAGTCTTCCATAATTGAAAATCCCAGTCTTCCTGTAATAGATAATAAAAAACCTAAGACTGGCAAAAAGCGACCCACAAGCGATGATGAAGAAGAGTATGTTGTATTCTTTATTAAATACTAGCTATTGTCCAAGACTCCACACATTACACAAGAAGTAAAAAAAAAAAAACTCAATTGGAAGCCTTTGAGCTTTTCTAAACAATTCAATTTTTCTACATATATACCAAATTTCAGCATGATCCATAAAACTGTTCTAGAGATATCTACTAACAAACACTCATCCATCCATCCAAACATTTGATTTTATAATATTAGTAAGTTTAAAAATAACATAGCATGTATAAAACATAACAACACCACAAGCACAGATAAGACATGCATAAAGTGGAAATATTTCCATTAATGTATGTTTCATTTGACAAATAAGACTGTAGAGGTTTTATTTCCCTATTGTTCAAAGATGTTTTATTAATAGCCCGCGGCTCCGTCTGTGTGGAATAAAAAAAACTCAATTAGATTTGTTTTTCCCGACTGTGTCCTATTGTTTATATCATATTTCATTGAGATCCGTTCAGCTGTTCTGGATATACATTCAAACATACATTCATCCATCCAAATATTTTCATTTTTAATATGAGTAAGATGATTTGTAATTAAAACAAACCCTTACTGTAAATTTATAAAAGATATTTGTTATTTTCCAGAAAAATAGAATTAATAACATCATATCATAATTCTGACTCAGAGTCTAACGATGAAGCAGAAAGTCCTATAAAGGTGCAACCGATAGTGCCAATCATACAGCAAAAACCTGCTGTCAAAGTACAGAAAAATGTTCACAAAAAGCAAAAGATCAAACCTCAAGTAGAGTATGGACCGAGTATGCCACCTAATTTGAACTACACCGTGCCCATCGGACCTGAATTGCCACCTAATTTGGAGATCACGCCTGAACCAAAACCACCAGAGAGAAAAGTGGAAATTGTTGCAATTGAAAAGGAGGTAAATTTTATTTGCATTTTTTTCTATAAATAGGTTCTGTCAGTCCAGTCTATATCTTTATAATTCTTGCAAATAATACGAGGCCAATGATGAAATAGCGCTACTGATATTTGCGCAAAGAATAACATTTTAGCTTTACTGGATGTTAATTTTTTTTATATCGCCATTTGTAATTATCTTACTCCAAGTTAGATAACTTCACATGGTTTGATCTTGATTTTTATTCTATACTTTTAGTTTATTGTTTTAGTACTTGATTAAATATTTTGAATAATGTTTTCCGGTAAAATTGAAATGTTACCACGCACAATGATGGTTAAGTTTTCAATCTGAGGCCCATTTTAAATTGCACAGTTAAATTATCTTACTAATATGTTATAAATAGATTAAAAATAATATTCTTTATTCAGCCTGAGAAAAAATCCCCAGTGTCAATTGACAATGAAGACAGTCAAGATGAGATTTCATTGCTTAAGAAATTAAAAGACAAAGCTAAATTACTAGAAAAGTTAGGCGGGGAGTTGCCATCAGAACTACAACAAATAATAAAAGATGAAACTAATTTGTCCTCAACTGCCTCCCCGAGCTCCGTGGATAAGAAAAACATTGACATTGATGATATGCTAGAAGAAATAGAGAAGACAGAATTTCTTAAAACAAAACCCAAAGAAGCAAAATCCAGTAAAAGCAGTGTCAATAACTCTCCAAGAAGCGATGGTCATAGAACACCACCCTTAGAAGAATTAAAAACACTATTCCCGAGCACCAAAAATCATACAGATGAACCGATACCTTTATTTCCTAGTGTTGCCAATTTTGAAGACACAAGTAATAGTAAACCACCAAGTCCCGAACAAAAGCCTGCTCCGGAGAAAAAGGAAAACATGTATCTGATGGATGTTAATGAACCAATAGAGAATGTCGGCAGGAAGAAACTGAGAATTTCAAATTCAGTGTTGCCAGAAAGGAAAATTGAGAAGAGTGAACCTCCCGCATACACAACAAAATATTCACAATACATCGAAGGTTTCTCCGACCAGAGAACCGGTTTAGGGTTCAAAGAGGAGGACAAGTGTGACAGTCCAAAAAATACTATAAACTACGGCAACGGGTTAACTTTCACTAAGGGGGAGACATTGAACGAGGGCAAACAGGAGGAGGATCTGCAGGACCTGACAGATCTGATCGGAGCCAAGCTGAGGTACCTGAACGAGCTGCAGCCGTGTGTGGTGACACCAGTGCAGGAGATGCTCATACAGTTGCAGGTCAGACTTACCAAATTAATTATGTTCATTATTTTATAATACGAGGTAGAAAATAAGCAATTAATGTGTATGTGTGTGTATGTGTATGTGTGTACAGACGCTGGTGTCGGGGTGGGAGTGCGGCGGGGTGTGCGCGGGGTACGTGCGGCGCTGGGCGGGGGGCGCGGGCGCGGCGCTGGCGCACCACGAGGCGGAGGCGGCGCCGCCGGGCTGGACCTGCACCTTCCAGAGGTACGCCGCCACCACACTTCCACACCTCGCCCCCAACTTACCGCCGCTTTCCCCCAACTGCCCTTTCTCACAATGTGACAGCTCTACGCCTTATTTATATATTGCTTGTCTGACAAGCGTAATTTACAATAAGAAACTTTGCTTCGGCAACATTGTGAGGGGTGGCTTCTCGGTTTTTAATATAATCTGACATAAGTAGGGTGTTTCTTTTTTATTTCGAGACGCAACTGATAACGTGCATTATAATTCTTCTGAAATTGGTCAATTCATATTTATTATAATAGTATTGTGATTTATATATTATATATACAGGTTTTTAGTAAGATCAACACTTTACCAATATTTTTTAAATATCAGCTAAAAGTTTTTACGAATAAATGATAATTTTGTAGTCGAATGTTTAAAATTTATCAATAATTAATCGTATAGCACAATTATAAACATTATTGTCGTATAATGTAAGTTTATAATAAAAATTTAAAGTGTTTCGATTGATCGACGTGATATTAAAACTGTGATAAACTAAAGAAAATGCTCTGTGATAATAAATATTAATGAAAATATATAGTTTGAGTTTCCTTCTGTGTCATCCTGTCCGTGTCTATGTAAGGCTAGGGTAAGAGGGACAAAGAAGATGACGGAAGATGACAGATGACAGCGGAACAAGAGCAAGCTAACCAGAAGACGTCGCGCCGAGGACTTGGGTGAGGCAAATATGTTATTAGTTAACTTTTCATTTTCAAGATGTTACACTTTGGTCTTTTCCAGATTCGGCGCTCGCTCCCTGCGCAGTACCGAGCTGCGGCACTCTGTCACTGTTGTTGACGCTTTATAAGTGTTGCCGTTATCAACAGACATTTTTATATGTTGATATATTTTGGCAACATTGTTTTACAAGTTAAATTTTTCTTAAAAGAAAAGTTTTAACCTCGGCAATGGTGATGTCTAAAGTAGACATAAAATATAAAATGTATATGGGTTTAGTATGCACTCCATTTAATTCATGATTATACGAATTTGACTCAATTTCGAGTCTCCTTCGTGTGTTCAATATATTTATATTTATAAGTACACTAAGTGCGCCCGCTTATTTTTACATTTTGTTGGCTGCGTTCAATACATTCACTTTAATCAAATCAATTCAATTTATGTATTATGAATTTCTAAATAATTTAGCTGATTAGAAAGCAGTTTAATGCAGCATAATAATGTAAAATGAGTGGGCATAGTGTATCTCTCTCCACTGCGTGTGTTTGTACGTGTGTCGTGTCGCAGGAGTGAGGGGCGCTACCGGTACCGGCGCGAGGCGGACGGTCTGCAGCAGTGGGAGTATCCCGCCCTCGACAACACCGACATGGACATCTCCACCACGCCCCCGCACACCGCCACCCTCGATACTAAGGTATCTAACCTAACTACAACATCTCAACAACGAACAAGGAAATAAATACACTAAATTCGTTTTATTTACTAACTTTCATATCGATACTAAGATGCAAAAATATATTCCACTCTTTTTGACAATTTTGTGCTTTATATTTCCCTTTATGACATGTGTATCGTTTCTCAGGAGGAGGCGGGTCCGTCGCAACCGCCGCAGCCGCTCCCCGCGCCGCAAGCCGCGCCTCTGTCGCCGCCCGCCCCGCCCTCACCGCCTTCCCCGGCGCGCGCCACGCCCCCCACCCCGCCCCCGCCGCGCTGGCACGAGCCCCCGCCCCCCGGCTGCGACGACACGCCCCCGCAACCACCGGTACCGGTACTACACAATACACTATATCATTGCCACAACTAACTTCACCAAAACACAAATAGCAAACATCTAGTTGTTATTCATCAAATCTATTATTTAACTCAATAAAACTATCGTTGCTAAATGTAGTCAATAAATTAGCAATCGTTTGTATGGTAGGAGGCGAAGGCGGAGATCTGCGAGGAGCTGATGTGTTTCTACAACGACATCGCCGAGCTGGAGAAGCAGGCCGAGCCCCCCGCCCCCGCCCCCGCCCCCTCACCTCCCGACCGCTCCTCCGAGGCAAGGGACAGGGCGCGGGAGAGGGACAAGGAGAGGGACGCCAGGGCACACAGGAAGAAGTCCAAGGTATATACGCTGGGGGCGCCACTACATTTTTGACCAATTAACTAATTTTACTGCAACAATGTGCAACTTTTAGTGTACTTTTTTTTTTCAAATATCAAAATTTGTTAACTTAATTGTTTTTTTAGCTAGTTGAAAGTTTTTGGTAATATAGTAATGAAAAAAATTAAATTAAAGTATAAGCTAGATTATAAAAGCCCAAAGTACCGCAATTTGCTTATAGAGGTTTCTCGCTTATCTAATGTCTAGTCTATTCTCAATAATATTTTATCAATTTCAGGTGAAAATATCGACATCTATGGGTATGAAGCACAAATCTGTGTCCAGTCTGGTGGCCAAGTGGCAGCAGGTGGCAGACGAGATCCACTCCGAATGATGTCTGTCACCGATCTCACCGATGCCACCTATGCCACCGATCTCACCAATGTCACCGATGTCACCAATGTCACCAATGCCACCATTGTCACCAATGCTACCAATGTCACCAATGCCACCAATGTCGCCAATGTCACCGCTGCCACGAAGTAGCCACGAGAAAGCTGCACTACTGTTGGAGATCGCAAACATATTTGCAAACATAAAGAGCATTGTGCCTGATAATTAATTTCTTTATTCAATCTACATCTATAATATAATATAGTTATATTTGATAATTATGTCTGTTTGAAAATAGTGTAAAAATAAGTTTATCTAACCTCGGACTATGATATTTATTGTTGCTTATTTACAATAAATTATATATTTACTGTGAAATTCACTTCACAATGTGTCAAAACAAAAACAAAGAATCATAAATATATTAGATTATTATAATCTAATATTAAATATCACATTTAGCGCTACTGAAATATAACATTCATATAATTTATTGAGAAATTGTAAATATTTAACATTTGTACCTAAATATAAGTGATGTACATTTTTGTGCTTCTGTAAAATAAATATGTGAACATAATGGTTTTTTAATATACACTTGTCTAAGTTAAAGAAAAACGAAGAGTCGTTTCTTAAAATATTTATTATTACACTGTAACACATGCACACGTACAAAACTATACAAAAACATAAATATAACTATATAAGGTCTTATGTACTATATCCTTAATTAACATAACCCTTATTTATTTGTAAATACAATCTTATAAAATAATCTTACATATTTAAACTAAAGTAACACTTGCTTTGCAGGGATTTTTTTTAATTACTTTTAACTACTCAAGTCATTTGATATTATAATTCAATGAATTTATTTTGTCAACAACAATATTAAACGGTTAGACGTCTTTGTACTGAGAAAACATATTAGGCTATGTTATAAAAATCTCTTATAAACATAAAACAATTAAAAGTTATGTAAAAGAATCATTAAAGGTAGTGATGTAACATATATCATATTTACAAATTCAAAAACCGCATTTGCGTAAGTACTATGTTACCGTCGCACGACGCAGGGCTCGCAGCTCCCCGGGATGAGGTAGACGGGGTGGCACTGAGGACACTCGGGGTTCTCGCCGTAGCTGGACCTGCCCGGCCGACCCGCTCTCGCATCCAACGAGCCCTCCGTATCCTCATACCCTGGATGTGGCTTGTCCAGGGGGAACACGTAGTCGGGAACGAAGTACGAGCTAATGTTGTAATCGGTGTTGAGCGGGACCGGCGGGGCGGGCGTGGTCGTAGTCCTGGTGACGTCACTGAACGGTCTCCTGCCCGGTGCTGTTCGTTTTTGTGGTGCCGCTGTTGCGTTGGTGGCATTACTCTCTTTGGGAGGCTCGAGACCGAACGCCGGCACCGCCCACTTCCATTCGTAGTATATCGGTGGTCCCATTGTTGTGGACGGTATCTTAGAATATTCGGACCTCGGAGGTAGTAAGTGTATATCGGGGACCGGGATTTGACTTGTTCCTGTATTTTCATTGTTCGTCTCAATAGTTGTTTCGGGTTTCACGTTGACAGTATCAAATCTTGTATTTTCTGCGGCGCCTTTCTTTTTATCGTTTCGAACTTTATTCAAAGTGTTACCGAAGTTCTTGTTTCTGCGCGGAGTTCTGTCTTCTTCCGAACTGACTTGTCCCTGAGGTAATTCTTTATTAATGTCTATGATTTCGGTTTTGGTCATTGAAGTTTTATGTGAGTCTGGAACGTTTGGGTCAAATCGTTTAATGAAAGTAAATACTGGATCTTCGGTTCCATCTTTGTTGGATTGTAATCTGCCTGCGTCGGATTGTGTGGTAGTCGCCGGTGGGATCGGTGGGCTGAGCTCTCTCGAAGGAATTGGGATATTACCTTGATTGACCGTTGGACCGTTAGGTGTCGGTGCAAACGTCGGCTGAACTCTTTGGGAGGCCTCGGTCACGCTGTCTCTGTCTTGTTTATTAATCCTACTGCGTTTGGTGCTAAAGTTATTTTCTGTCACTTTTCCGATAGACCAGGAGGTCTGCGGCCGGAACCTGTGCTTGTCGCTGTCCAAGTCGTTGTTATCATCTGAAATGGAGTCGGCGACGCCTGCGATGCTGTTACCGGGATGTATCGGGAACTGAAAAAAATTTAAGGAACTAGTTTTTGATAAAGGATTAACAAGAGAAAATGAGAGATTTAAGGGAATTATTAACTTATAAGTTTACCTTTGTCTCTGCCTCCCTCAGTCCATCGTAGTAGTTGTTGTTGGGCGGCACGGACAACACGTCAGGCCGCGGAGTGCGCGACTTCATGTCTTCATCAGAGACAAACGGCTTGTCACGCTGACCTACAAAGTTCACAAAATATTATTATAGTTTCCAATTAGTTCAATTTCATTTGTTCCTCGTCTTGGGTAGTGGCTTTTCTATCATGTTTTTGCTCTTTGCCCTACTTCATATCGGCAAAATATTATACAACTCAAATCCACAACCATACTTTCATCTGTCTTTGTCCTCTATTGTTGTAGCCAGACATTCCATTTGATTAACTTTGTATAATCATCATCACTGCGTTACGCATATCATATAAAAAAGTTTATAAAGGAAATAAGGCACAATAAAAACTGTGAATAAATTTTATTATAATCGTATCATAGGAGTTACCTTGTAATATATGAATGTGTGAACAAAGAAGCGTGCCCATCTCACCTACACCAGCTGCCGAGTTTGATGGACAAGGCAACGAGTAATTGCTAGAGAGGAATTCCGGTCGTGTGAAGGTGACTTAATTGGTTCCAAACATACATACGTGACTAGGAAATATTAGGAGCAAAACGCTTTCAATGTAGGGCTGTTAAATTCCTGCGTAGTCATCAGATGTGCAGTGTGAGCACCGGACTCGCAATGCTTTTTATTTTATGTTTAGATATATCAATGATTTTAAATTACAAAATAGTAGATTATTTTTTGTAGACAAGTAAATTATTTTTTGGCACGGCTCGCTGCCCAAAAATTGTTGCTATTATATGTCCATCCATCCACAGGGCTGTCCACAGTTAAATAAACATTAATATTAAAATATATAATCCAAATTGTTTTTCAATTAAATTTACGTTTACAAACGGTTTTCATCTACTTAATTTGATCTTTTTTTTTGGTCATAGTGATTTTAATTTCATAGCCCATCTCATAAGTTTCTTAAATTTTAATCAAATGTAGGATTAACTAATAAAATATCTAGTAATAGCGAAAAATTTATTTTTGTAATCTCTAGTTATTCTTACGAGAAAAATAACAGTTTGACAGCCCTGTGTCTAAGTTTGTGATGTGAGGAATGTAGTAAGACGAGTAACACACGAATTATATACAATTCATTGTCCCAGTGATGTGGCATTTCATGTTTATCATGCACCGCTCGTTATGTCATACAAACATTTTGACATTACGCACTCAGTAGCCTGATGACCGAGGTGATTTTTTAAGAAGTAGAAAGCTTAAGAATTAGTCGCCTGATACTACTATTATGTACCACAATACGGAGACAAATGGTAAAAAAATATTATAAGGGATCCGACTAAAAAAACACAAAGTTTGAAGAGCATTACTTTACAATGTTTAATTGAATAAAGTCGATTGCTAAGTTCACTATTTATTCAAGTTATCGATTTCGTAAGAGCTTTGCATGTAATCCGCAGTGAGCGCTTTAAAGCTTTCACTTTGCGCGTCTTCGGTAGCAGAGATCGCATGCAAATGTGCAAGTGTTGACAGCGACCTTGTCAATAAATGGAGCTTAAAAGTTAAAGTGTGTATTTAGCATATTCAATAAACTTCGACTAAGACGCCGTATGATATGCGCATGCGCCGACAGCAAATAACATAAATATCCAGCAGCGCTGTAGGATAGGGCGAGGTGCAGGCGCTAGAGTCGGATATAAAAGGGCATGTACAGTACCCCTAAGTAACCCTATCTTTGGAAAATGTTCCCGGACACCAAAAAAAGTGGGCGCCCCAAAAATATCGCCTTGGGCTCTGGAAACGCTAAAACCAGCCTTGTAAAAATCTCACCTATAAGCAGGTTGGCGTCGTAGTCGCGTTCGGCATTGGAGCAGTTGACCATATACCAATGATCGCAGACCAGCATGCGCTGTTGGAACAGCGTCGTGTTGGGGCAGGAGTAGCTGAACTGCCGGCCCATGCCGTCGCACATGTGGTACACCTGACACACACAAAACATTGCATTGTAACATCATTGATTACATAACACATTATATCGAGCTAATAGTAATATAAAGGTGATGCCACACTGGTGTACGATAAGTTATCCAATGACTTTTCACACAGTTTACAATTTTTCCTGTGAAGATGAATAAAAGAAGTGACGTCATCGATTTATCTGTTATAATATGATGTTCAGAATATAATCATATGATAATGTAAGTATAATTAGTGATTATTGTGCCGTTATTGATGACGCGGGGTCGGCAGGATCAAGACTTTTATACAATCCTCATTATAATAAAATGACTGCGATTGCCATGTATTGGCGGGTTTATTGATTGATTTGTTACAAGGCTTTTTTGAACCCACCGTGAAAATGCAGCGCAGAAATATTTACTATAGTATATTGTTGTTTCATATTTCTGAATGGAAATGTAAGGGATAGCAACGGGGTACAGAAGTGTTGCGACCATGATAACATTTATTTAACGATTGTCAAATACATTAGTAGCTTTTAATGAAATTGATCTGTGATCAAATTAGATCAAACAAATACAGAACATATGAAGATATTTTCATTTTTTTAATTGGGTGTAAGTCAAATAGACACTATTTAAATACAGTCAATAAAATATACAAGAAGAGATAGTTAAATGTAAAATTAATTAATCAATGTAATTGTAAGACAAAGTTGTTGGACATGATTAATATTTTACTTGGAATCTTCCGCGTAAACTGGAATGCCTTTAGTTTTAATATAAATAGCTTGTTTTTCATACAACATATTCAATTATCTTCCTGAAGGTATGAGGAAGTTACGTGTAATTCCTAAACTAATTATAAACAAACATTTTGTTGTTAAGCTTTCGAGAATTAGTAATTAATTTCTATTTAATTGTGGAAGTAAAAAACATAAGCCTTTAATTCTGTACTTATGGGTGTTTTTTCTCATATACATAAAAGTATTAAAATGTAATTATTAGAAGTCTTTGTAACTTATATTTGTTGTTGAATAAAATTGCCTTTTAATAACGGATCTGTCAAACTTGACGTATTACCTTATTATAATTCTAGCAAATAGTGAATGGTAATGCTTACGTTTGTTTTTCTGTTTACTCGTGTACTCTGTATTGTGAAATATTTTTTATTTTTTAATTATCTATCTAAGATTGCATAACATAAATTATAGGCTGCTTACACACTACAGTCATTTTCTATGCTACTTTAACCGTGACTTTGACGTTTAACTACGACTAACAATCGTGGTCAAAGCTTAAAATGTACTAATGCATTTTGATTCTATCAAATTGTGTTTTTTTAATGCATAAACATTTTAATGTATTTAAAGACGGATGTACTTGATCGTTCACGAACTATAAACAATTTAAAACAAAAAAGAAATAGTGGCCGAATTAAAAAATAAGGTCAAGGTAAAGCATGAGCAGTAGACAAAGTACTTTATGATTAAATCTATAATTGACAGTGACTCATCAATATATTAGATAATGACATTCTCGTGTTTAATATTTTTCACTTTAAAATCTATGATAATTTCAAGCAGTTTTTGTTTGCAAATTTGAAGAATATAATGTTAATATAATATTTGCTATTCATGAAGATTTTAATAAGGAAATTCAAGTTCACATTGCGAACGTCAACATTCTTAACGATCAATACAGTTAGTTCGCACCTTTAAAGCATTATTTAAAGTGCAGCAAATCAAGCGAATACACATTGCATTAAAAAGTTACGTACAAAGTCTTAATCGCTGCTATTCTAATATACAGGAGTTTACGACTAGGTTATGTTTGCTTCCTATTTTGTAATGGATTATTCTTTTCAAATATTACATGTACGCGTAACCATATTGCATTTATAAACCTTTCTTGAGTTGATATTAATATTGAAAAGTAGCACAAAGTTGTATTTTCATAACTGTCATAGTACAAGACAGTTTTTTTTAATGTGAGGTTATTTCCCTTTAATGGTTTGATACCAAGTTAATTTTGGGTAACTACATAAACGATATTACTTCTAAAAATATACTTTAGTTTGAATTTTATACATAATTTTTATACGATCTTAATATGCCTTCCCACCAGGAGGGCGCTGACTTCCTCATTCCTTGCGCGCTGCGTGTCTGCGACATATCAAATTACATAAAAAGTAACACGAACTGAAGCGACCCGGATCACTGACCTTTGACGGCAAAGGTCAGAAAAAATTCTATTGATTTGCTTCACGAGATTGAAAAGACTCATAAAGAGTTATGTACTACAAATGCTTTCAACTTTTACATTAATGAAACGTAAACATTCTAAAATTTGTTCGTATTGTTAATTTTTAAGTGTTGAAACATTTCCGACTTCTAAACTATTTTATATTATAAACAAAAACACACACAATTACAAAGTTTAACCACAAAATACGTGAAATATTTGCGTGAAATATTTCACCCTTTTTTGTCAGATTCTTTAATTAATATCTATTCGTATGACTTGTACGATCCAATGTTAAGTGATTGTTAAGTTAAACAAAACTTGTTCAACTTTACAGCCAGATTCAGACAACAAAAACATTGTACATCCTACGCTCGTTTTATGATTTCCTGCAATTAATAAAATATTACTTAAGCCACTAAATCCGAAATACGAGAACTGGTATTTTTGCTACTATTTTGCTCAATTCTTAAATGGTAATTTTTAGTCCGAATGTAAGTAAGATAAAATATTTTTGTGTTTATTTATTTATGTATATTTGCCCTCCTAAAGTCACCTTATATTACTTTAGATATCAGATAGAGCAAGCGAGGCGTTTGGCGACTGAACTTTGTCAACGCACCGCCGCCTTGACCCGCTTATAGGAATGTTTGATAGTAATATCCTAAACGAATCCTCCTTTAGGCTTTACTTTAAATATTTATAGATTAATAATGGTTGAAATGGTTAAGCGAAGTTAATTCTTCACTAATTCTAATTCTAGAAGGAACAAATACTAATCCGTCAGAAACTATTAAATGGTTCCATGTGTTAGGAATCCATCGTTCCAACCGTTATTTTTGTGTCAATTATTTCAAATGTCAGATGCTCCAATATTCTCTACTTGTAGTATTTGTAAACCTTCGTTAGAAAAAAAAAACTATTAGTTGATATGTATAGTGTTGGACATGTCAGATTGTAACCTAACATTATTGTATTACAGTTAAACTCTTAAACAACTATCATTTGTAAAGTGGTAGAGTGCTACATAATAATTATGTTTGAGACTGAGTTGCAAACGGAAGGATCAAACTACAATCACCGTTAAGTAATACAATGACCTAAATAAATCACGTGATAGCGTCAATAGCGCGGTGGTTATGCACCTTACTTCGGTCCGGATTCGATCTTGTACCACTAATGTACACTAACATATTTTTCAATTTTAAAATTTCACTTGTACTCTTACCCAACGTTCTCACGGTAAAGAAACCTCGTGATGTATCTGGTGATGGGTCAGCGTTGTTGACTAAGGCCGAGTCACCCCTGACTTAGGGTAGGCTTGAGCAGATCCGTATCACGTAGTCACAGTGACATTGTTTTTTTAGGTATAGCTTTAGATCATTCTAACTTCGACTTTAAAGAGCGATTAATAAACACTGGCCGCTACTATTTTTAATGACTTCCTTGAATAAAAATAAATGTAAAATTCGATGTACTTATTTTAAAAACCATGATATTGTAAATGACCATCGGCTAAACAATGTGAACAAATATATTTCCTTAAATATAACTTCCCGTCGACATTGAAGGAGTATTTTTTGTCCTTAAATAAAATATTTATTAAAATATTTACTGAATAACATATTTTTGCAGCTGCATATTTATATAAAAAAATTTGTTACGATTTTTTTATTTTACAAATTACCTACGACTTTTAAATTACGTTGTGTGTTCTAATAATGTCGATAAAAAGCCCTTAATTAGAGGCACTTTTACCTTTTACGAACTTAGAAAAAAATGAAACGGGAAAACGTAAAAAAATATTATTAAAACCGCAAGTGCTAGTAATGCCACTGTAATCTTTGTATTATAAAAAAAAGTAAAAGTAAAGGTGCATCGGCACACCTCCATGGTTAATTGTATCTTTGGTTACGTAAAGCGAAAGTTCAAGGTTGAGTTAGTGGTTCACTTGCTCTGTGCCAGACCGACAATCAGCTACATTAACTAAAAAACGAAGATTCCGTTTAATAAACTCAAAAAGGTTATTATTCCTTAGCTATTGTCATGAGACAATTGTGGCTACTGCAAATTATGTTTATGTCGTAAAAGAGTCTGTGTGTTTTGTTGTTTTGTTTCTTTTAACAGACAAAATTAAGACGATTTGGGAATAGTAAAACATAGGCCTAAGTAGCATAATTAAGAATTTGAAAGGAAATATGTATGTATAATACAATGTATAGTATAGTTTTGTTCTCGTCTTTTTATGCCATAAGATTGTACCTTTAGATAGTTTTCCCTACAAAAGGTACTCATCTGACGGTCGTGGCAAACAGACTATTGATTCAAATCTTGTCACAGTAGGGTTCCATACCTTGATATGTCAGTTGTAACAAGATTTCAACTATATCCGTAATAGATACAATAAAATAGTTTTGCTTAAGAATTTTACAACTGCGCCCTTCGAATGCTATTTGAACTTTAGTGCAATGAAAGCTATATTCTACACGCTGACTAGCGCCATCTACCGGGAAGTATTTACACTAATTGTTCTGTGCTAGGACATCACGAAAATGTAATTTGAAGTTCCTAAATTTCATAAGATGTATTTAAATCTTTTAGTAGTTATTATATTAGTATGTATACATCTAAATTTTAGTAAATTGTTTTTATTTATATTCGTTTTTATGCGACCTTCGTTCTTTCGTCTTTAGCGACATTCTTGCACGTTTATGACAAACTGGCCGTTTTTTGTACTGAAATATAATGATTACATAGTTTTTATTATTAATTTAGATTTTAGATTAAGATGACATTTATATGTTAAATTGACGTGGGTATATGTTATGTTTTTTATATCTTTTACATCCAAACTTATTCTAATTTTTCCAAACAATTTTTCTAAGAAAACAAACATACGTTTCGATGTTATTTCTAAAAACCATATATTAACAGCCTAATAAAACGTAATTACATCGTTAGCAACAGATTAAAAATAACCCACGCACTCATTTTTGTAGTAGGACAAGGTTAAGTGATCCATTCAAATAACTGCAGAGTATAGTTTGTGAGATTTAAACATCATTGTAAAGGTTGCGTACACAATTAATAAGTATTTAGAAAGCTTACGTTTGTAATGTCTTGATTAAGATCAATACAACTTGTATTCACACGTGGGAATTTGAAGTCTTAACATCAACAGAGTTATTCGATTCGTTAGCACCTAAGAAATTTAGTTTTGCTAAGCTTCTTACTTCAAAAATATATGTTTAAAATGAGCTTATGCAATTTGTTCGCTTTTTCACCTCTAACAACATTATTAAAAATAAATCCTAAATTAAATGTTAAAATTCAATTATCTAACATTATGTGAGGTACAATCTAAACAAGACGTGGTCAATTAACGTAATATTTTCTTAACTGCAATAACGTCTTAGCGATGTAAACAAAGATTATCGCATTGTAGCATCTTTTATGAAATTGCTCGTAATAACAACAATTTAGCGTCGCCTTGTTAGCGGCTAGCGTTTTAATATTTGTAGATGTAATCTGTGCCCGGAAGCAGCGCCATCTCGTGACCTTACCCGCGTGTTAATTCCGACATCAGAGTATCCAATGTTGGTATTATTTGATATAAAATTAACAAAATTACTTCTGATGGTTTTACGATAAAAATAAAAATATTATAAACATAAACTCTAGCTAACTTTACAAAAAATGCAATTTACCTTAACTTTATAAACTAAATTTTTGTCACGTCTGTTTTATTGGTCCTTTGCCATTTTTAATCTATGTACTTTAACCTAGAATCAATAATTAGTAACTTTAGGTTCCTTAAAATAAATAGTGGAATAAAGTTATATAGCAATAAATAAGAAATTATTTTATAACCTTTATTTTAAAAATCAATTTTATCCGTTTCGTAATATTTTATATTTTTCATGCACTTTAAGATAAATTATGTCATTCATCAATCGGTGACCTCTTAATAGCAATAAATAACGTGTTTTCACGTCGACCCCTCATTACTCTGACAGATGTTTCGAAAAAACGTCAAAATCTGATGATAAATCAAGAATAATCGCGCTCAGAGCCATCTGTTGGACATTTTTTATTTCACCTCTGCTAAGGTTCAAAGGGCAAAAGAAATTGATGATTCTATTCTTTAAAATATATATTTAATTTCATAAAGACATCGATGAAGCTAGCAATAATTGTTTGTGACTTTGTAAGATACAGCCTGTGTTTAAAATATTATCAAGAAAAATTTTAAATATGTGGAGAACATAATTCACAAAAAATTTAAGAGTACTCGAGTATATTTTAACACAACTATCATAATTGACGCAAATTGTCGGAAGTAGTATAAGTAAAAGACATAGACACGCGTCGTGCAGATTTTTTTTGTCATTCACAAGTGAAAGTCGAATATTACAAATACAAAGGCGAGAAGAGAGATAAGCTAGACAGAGAATATATAAGCAGAAAATTGTTAAAGTCAAAGCTGACAGACTTGTTTCTCGATGTAGAAAAAGTGTCCTCATCGATAAACAAATCTGTAATAAAGTGAGGTTATGTTTATGTGTTTAATGTTTACCTTAAGTATGTGTAAATGTTGTTGATTGAATACATTTTTGTTTTCTTATGATAAAGAGCGCGTCTCGCGGTTAAGCATTACAGCTTGGCGAGATAAAATTCTTTGTTTAATCTTTTGTATGAAAAATAAATAAATAAATAAAAAAAAGAAGTATAGCTAATATAGCTGACTACCGTATTAATATTATGAATGCGATTGTTTAGATGGATGGATGGTTGGACGTTTGTTAAAAGGTATCTCCAGAACGGCTTAATACATCTCGATGGAATTAGGCATAGGCATAGATATATATTTTTTTAATTCCACGCCGACGAAATTCAGGATAAAAGTTAGCATTTTTATAAAAGCTTACGCATTTCTTTATCTATAATAAATACAGCTTTATCCTGTATTGTTTGTTGTCTACGTTGTACGTAAGTCAACTCAACGTTTACTATGATATATTATATTTTTTACATTCTGACATTGTATAAGATAAATATATAATTATGTGTCTCGGCAAAGTTAACTGATGCGAGCAAAACAAAGCATCAATGTGCGACACTTAACCTCCTTTCGCGGAGTCAAAGTCACATGACTGACGTACTCCACTCCCGTCTGTGTGCGTGTGCGCGGGTAGGCTGCGCGTGCGCAGGAATAGCGCTTAACAACGAGGATAATTTATGAAATATTCAAGCTTTTGACAATTTTACAAATAATATGAAGAAGTATTTGTTTTGAGCATTGTAATATTTATTATAATAAATTGATTGATATTAAATATTTCTTGAAAATAAATATATTATTATTATTTTTGGTTATTTAGCGTAAATAGTCTAAGTCTCATAGAAATTAACCAAGCTAACTAGCTAGCTAGCTTGGTAATAAAAAAATGTACATAAAAATTAATAATCGAGAAATCGTTCTTTTTCTTTTTAATCAAGCGTCAAAAAACCTTGACCCTACAATAACGGTGGCCCTTTAGGAGCCGCAAACGACAAAACGATGATTATAAACAAGAAAGTAATATTACTCACTCTGACATATCTGACATCGTCATATTTCGAGAGACGTAATTGCAAGTAACATCTGTCGTAAAATAAACGCTTCACACATTTTCCTTCGTGTAATGTAAATTAAAAAAAAACACACAAAATTATCAGTGTTTCAGCTACAAAGAACTTTTTTATTTAAATAAAATAGAATATAAAAGTACTCTGGGTTTAAAACTTGAACATACTGTATAAACTTAGCTTCTGTATTATTTCTTACGAATATAAAATACAATACTATAATTTACATCTTGTCAGAGATGACATAAAGGATGATTAATCACTTGATTACTATCATTTGACAATAACAACATATGTATATGTGTAAAACACAGAAAACTAATGGCTATAAAGATTAAAAGTGTAACTAAGTACTGACAGTCAGAAATGAGAGTTGCCGCACAATGCGGTTAAAACCATGTTGTAGTGCTTGGCATTAGACTAGTAGGGTAATACGACTATGTATGGGCCAATGTAACATGATAGCATGATCGCAAATAATACGTATAATGAAGAGTAAAAACATGCAACTGTTACCGCTCACTCCACAATAATTGGTCCGGATGTTTGGCTGCATACTGCATAGTAACAGTCAAATAGCTCGCAACTTGCACCGGCAACGGAAGCGGAAGATAATGTATACGTTTATTCAATTACTAACATAAGCAACACGGAATTAACCTAAAGTATGCGTAATTAAATGACAAGAGTATCTTTGTAAATTAGAAGTATTATACTATTTTTTACTGACCTGACATCCAGTATCCATGTCGGCGTAGTAGCCGGACGCGCGGCCGCGACATGTGAACCTCGTGGGCGGGGGCTTCACCACGCGTCTCTCTTCCTAAAACACAATACGTAAAATTGTTAGTTCAGTCAATATACAGATTTGTAAAATATGGATCTATAGATATTGTAAAATCAGTTTATCTTAGAACTTTATCGCCATAAATTGAACGGACGTTTTCGCAATATTTGTATAAAGTCTTCAATGGATTGCGAAATGAATTTGGTCGTAAGGTTACGTTTTACTGCCAACTGCCTATTGTTCACTTCAACGCAGCTACGAACTGGCTAAAATTAAAAACAACAAACACCAAAGCTATTTATTATAACAATGTCGTCGCACGGATCACGTGAGAATGAGAAGTTCATATTCATCTATTATTTTATAAATAATAAAAAAATATAGTTGTATTTTTTAATTATTACAAACATTATTGAAAATGTTGAAACTCTATGCAGTTTGTCATAACTCCAGAATATTTTCATAAATATTTTAGGAACATTTTAAATGAGACAATAATTGGGTATGTTACCCTACATATTTTTAATCCAATGAACTTGTCTCAGAGAGATTGAATAGTTCTGTAACTGTTCCTTACAGTTTTTTCATACTAAACTTATCCTAAAAGACTGGTAATTCAGTGCTGCAAGGAGGGAATCTTAGTCGATACTTTAAAAGTATATAAAAAGTATTGAATTGTCTATGCTTGAGTGTTGCATGTGATTGCGAACTTCAGGCAGCGATTGTGTGCAGACTTTATTGTTTTGATATCACGTATAATTGTTCTTGAATCTATCTCTGCACGTCGTATGTTAATTAATGTCGGTAAATGCTTCTAAGTCCAGCCATATAGGTTTTTGTTGTGAGAAAAGTTATATACTACGCTATGTGTTACAAAATGTACATAGGACTTAATATAGAAAACTTGTATGTTGCATAAAACAACGTTGCCACAAAAGAAAACTCAATTAAATCATCATTTCATACCGCCGAAATGTTCATTTTTAAATTATTGTTATACATACTGGGGGTATTATATCATCCACACAATATAGCTACCTTCAGAAGCCAATAAATGCTAATATTACTAATATTATAAAAGCAAATGTTTGGATGGATGGATGGATGTTTGTTTGAAGGTATCTCCAAAACGGCTCCATAGATCTCGCTTAAATTTAGCACATAGTCTTGAAGAACACATAGGCTACTCTTTAAATTTATTTTCAATGCCGCGTGGGCGAAGTCGCGAGCGATAGGTAGTCTACTTTTAACTCCTTAATAATAGTTACATCTTCCTCAACCTCCGACCTCTTGCTTCAGTGAGGGAAATTTGCGCGGTTACGTACAACTTAGATAAACACGTTGCAGCGCCCATTAGAGCGGACACTTCGACCCCGGCACAGCGCGACGGCTGACGGAAACCGATCGGCCAATGTTGCAAACACCATTGTTAGATAATAGGACAACGTAAGAGGAACAATTGTTTGTCTATGGTCGGAAACAGGTCAGAATGCACATACTAAAATGTGTTACACGATATCTGGGTACCGACAAATGTAATACGATGGCTCCTTTGGTAACTTTAAAAAATACTCTCTTCATATTCCATACAATATATTTTTTGGAATATATTTTTTATATTTAGGATTTTTTTTTATAAATAGCAACATTTATCAATCTTTTAGCCTTCAGACAAAGGCGTTCTGACAATAATAGCATAAATATTGTACGTTATATTGATAAAAGACATTTATCAAATAATTAACTTTTAACCTAAGTGTACGTCTATATCTTATCTAAAACGAGAAAACCTTGAAAAAGTTGGTGTTACAAGGTTTCAATATTACATATGTATAAGCTTAGGTGTTCATCTTTAAGCTACATAGGCTTCGAGAGGCTATGTACTGATACATCCTAACCTTTGCATCTATTTGTATCTAATACATAATACATTATGTATTAGATGTTGATGTCGTTTGCTCAAATTATCAAATACTTATTGAACTTATGTATTCAATAAACATGAGATATATAATTATATGGTTAATCCTATTACATAAGCAAATGTGGTTAATATTTATATATGTATATAGTTAGTAGGCTGGTATATAACGTTGTGTGGGAACGGACTCTGTGGCTCCCCGAGGTCAGTAATTTTTGTTTTGGCTGCGATTATAATAAATACTTAACTTATAATTATAGTAATTATTTTATCCTTATTCAACAATTTCTATTATGTATATTTTTTTAACAATTACTTCTTTCAAATTATTAATTTAATTACATAATTATAATATTATTAACAGACCATTGTTAAATGTAATCTTTTATGCCTTTTACTAGATGAATCATCTGTGTTGACTGTTCTTAGTAACCAACGAACATTGCTAAAATATTTGCGATGACCTCATTATGGAAACTGATACTAAAATAGTAAGTTAGTACATCCGCCCACAGATGCGCTGTACGCGTTATGTGACACCTTCTTAATACCATATAAGGCAGACTTCAACAGCCGACAAACGATTTCATGTAACATATATGCTAATTGTTTAAGACAAGTATCAAGAAGTGATACTCGCACTTTACAATTTATTTCACACTTAACATGTTTTGTCGTCTGTCAAATATTTAAGATAGATTAATTTCACAACAGACGTCTATGAAGTATCGTATTAATTTTGTTTCAGGATTATTACTGTACTTATTGGACGGTTGTCATAGTGTCAGCCGTCTCGTAAAACGAATAACTGCGAAACGATTGAGTGGAGTGACAAAGTCAACCGACACACAATACTTGTCCGAACATCACATGACCTGAAAGGTCGCGAGGTGAGATTTAATTTAAGCTTTCTGTACACATACAGATATGCTAACGCTGAGATATCTTTTTTATCAGACTAACAAAATGAAATAAAACATACTATAATACGACTATAATAGTACGGAATTGTAATAACAATGTTTGTAAACAGTACCAAAAAGAAATTGATGGATGTCCATGAAGAAACGTTGATTTACTTATATTATTTTTAGTTATATTAAGCAAAAAACTTTTAAACATACGAAATTGTAAAGTTAATTATAGATAGCGTTGCTTCCATAAAATTTTCATAGTGTTCTAGAAATTATGGTTTTTATGCAACATATTTCTTAGCTTCGCAATCGCCTAGCTTTGTGTAGCGGTATAGACTTAATTACAAAAACAAACCGGTTGTACTGGGCGTTGTACATTATGAACCTCTTCACTTAACATATGTATATTTATTACTTGAACACTAGCAAATGATTATTACTTAATTGTTAATTACGTTAAAATTGTTTTTTTAATTAATAAATTATTATTATAAACGTTCATAAATAAGTTCAAGTTACAATCATATAAATAGCGATGTAAATAAGTTTATTTATCCAGTAGCTATATTATATGGCAAGACGACATTAATTTATCACTTAATGAAAAGTGATTTGCCTATTGATGGAATTTTACAGTATTGTTAATGATTTTGTTTGATCTTCAGCGATTTAGTTATCCCATCTTGGATCGTGTGTTGGATTTCCAGTTTTGTCAAAAAGCGATTGACTGATTAATTTTGTACATATGATTAAGTAGAATTAAAGTTATAAATATTAGAATTTTATCTTCTTATTTATAGATATATCGATATTTCCTTACGTATTTCTAAAATATTACAACAATTCCATACTCGTACTACTGGATAATCTAAAGAGTTCATTAGTTTTATATCTCTATTAAAACTGAATCTAATTTGTTAATTACAGCTTAAAGACACCGATAGAGTTCGGGGTCAGACCACACCTGAAGGTCGCGGGCCACGTGCTTCCAGTGATTAAGCAAACTCTTTCCCCAACTACAAAAAATCTATTTCTCTAAAGGTCACAAACAGGTATTTTTATAGACTATAAATTTTTCCTTGTTTTCTTTTAATACGAACAAAAAAAACCGTCAACATTTGTTGGATTCGTATTTAAAGTCGTAATTTATAAAGGACCTAAGTAAACATTATTAGGACCTTCTTTAATTCAATTTAAATTTTACGACTAAGACTTTTTTAACTTTGTGTTTATTTTTAGGCATGCCTGTTAGATAAAGCCGCCTTGTTTTATCTATAAAAAAAAGATGTCACTAACAATTTAAATAACAAACATATTAAGTAGAAAATTCCAAATAAATCATAAATATCAGCCGATTTGTAAGCAACAAAGGCGATTAAAGATCACATTTCTGCATCGTAATGCATTATTTATTTCACGTTACTGTCTTTGTTATGTTGGTAACAATTCTCTTTCTTCAAAGGTTCACTCGCATTACCACTATTAAGGGCAGTTGCACACTGGCTACACTTAAATTGTCATAAACCTATTGCGCAGCTGTGATCAATGATTTTTAGTATATTCCTTACATACAGAATTACAAATCTCTTTATAACATTGATATAGATTAATACAAAGTTTAGTTTTTTTTTTCGTTAATACATATCTAAAAATATATATTTCTTAAATATATTTCATAAGTTTAAATTGGATACTGGTCGGATTAGTCTAATGTTCTTATTTATGGGTTTGCAATAAATAAAATAGATTTTTATTTAGCCGAGCCGAGAGTTTGGTGGTTGCTAAATAAAGATTATTCATGTGCAAGCAGCAAAGATAATATATTTCTAATTATATTTCGAATAACTTTCGATGATTTTAATCGAATCAAAATAATTTATCGTTTTTATTGAATTTTAATTTTCTACTTCTTTTTATCCTTTCCTCTTCTATTTTTATTTTGTGCTATCGACTTAATAATGATGATGAATTAAAAAATATAAATACTTAAAAAAAAAAAATTATGAATCAAAATATTATAGGAAATAAAATTAATTGCAATTAACCTTAAAACTTCTAAGTAAATAAGGTAACTAACTAGTTAACTAAATATTTCTTCACTTTTTCCGTGACACTTGTACGATGTTACCTAGCCGCCATTGTTACAGCACCAACGCAACGATCCTCACTTCTTACTAAGATTATACATTTTTTTTGTCTACATCGCAACCATTGAGCAACAAATACAGAGGACTGTGGGAGATCTCGTGTGACGTCACTTTCATACTGACATTTTTGTTGCAAGGCTGCAAATTATTGGATTGATTTGACTGTTCGATCCGTGAATATAGTCAAACAATGATATCTGAGACGGTGAGAGGGGCGCTGCTATCGCGGTTAGATTTATCAGAAAAAATATAAAACCTACATGATCATAGTAAATGGCATAAAAGAAAATAAAATATATGACAGTTACAGCACGAAAAGGTCCTTGTGACACTTCAATCACATTGACAGGGGGGCGTTGCTGAGCTACCATATTTTAGTTTGATTTATGCTCACCGGGTCAGATAACTTTGTCGGTCTAGGCCGTCTTAAACGTGTTTGGATTTAAGGTAAAGATTTGAGTAATCGATAATTAAACCGCACAATTGATGTATCGATTAGGTAATCGATATTTCATCGATGCATCGTTTGAAATCGTTTTCGAATCAAAAGGCACATCGCGTGTCCTCATAAGACGCACGCCGAGTTCACAAGACGTTGTTCACTTATCAACAATCTCGAATTACATTGAAATTTCTTCATTCTTTGCATTCGCGAAACCAAAAAAAAATTCTTAATCGTAATGTGGCAATAATTTCTATAAATAACACGAACAATTATAGGTAAAAAGTAATAGTTGATGCATAGGATGGTGAAACGAACGTTTTAACTTGTCCCTGATGTATGGGCAGCGGAAACTTCGCTAATTTAACGAATCCAAGTTTGCAACCGTCAACTATAAAAAAGTAATTTTATTCCTTCACGTGTTCCAAATGACATCATTATTTCCAAAACTTGTAACTTAACTATAACAATGGTTTCCGTGCGAACAACTACGTAACATGTTTTATTTATGAGCGAACAGTTTCGCATCACTTGATTTGCTTCACGTTGGCCAAATGCCAGGAATCGATGGCAGAATAATGATAAGTGGGCGAATGTTTCCAAACTTATTGCCACATGCATTATAAAAAATTGCACTAAATATTGTCAACTTAATTTTACGACCAACAATTCAATACCTAGACCTCACAGTTGCTAATAAGACGTATTTGGTGTGTTGCGTAAGAAGCGCTCTCTAATATTTTTGATAAATTTACGGACACTCAAAAGAATAACATTTATTTCAAATCTAAAATAACTTGATACATTCAGCTAAAATTTAATTTTAAATTTTGTTTCTTGGCTTTGGCTTTCCACTCGTGCCAGGTATGTAGATAGCAAAAAATTGTAAATAAAATCTATTAACACCAAACCTGTTAATGTGTATTAATAAAAAGGTAAAAGAGTTGTCATTGAGTAAGTTCGCTATCGTTATGTTTTTGCGGCAGTTCGTGGAGCTATTGATCCGACTGACTTTCGTAGGTCATTGCCACTGGGTCAGTCAGTGGTAACGCGGTCATAACTAGCAACAACACATTACTTCGTCTGAACATTGATTTTTTCCTATTCCTATATTTAATTTAACTGAATATTTACATTGAAATAAAATTCAAATAAATTAAAATATTACTAAGATTATCAAAAGCTTAGTCGTTCTATCAAAATACAAAATTTACTCACATAAAAATTCAAATCGAAACTAATTTAATTCATGCGACAAAATTTGATTTCGAATGACGATTGTACAACTGAATTACATCAATGTTTATCATCTATAAGAATCGATTCTTATTTAAATTATTTAAACTTTCGTGAGACATTATACTAAACTGATATATAAACACGGCTAAACACTCACGTATATACGTCCGGTGGCGGCACCGACTAGTTTTGAGCCCATCGGGGGCCCTTCATCAGGATGAATGGCACTGGTATTATTTCGCGGCCGCGGATATCGATTCTTATTTATTAGGTGTCTCCGATATTATAACTTCGTACCGACTTGTAGTTTTTGCTTAATATCTTTTCCATGAACACTTCTTTCCTTCATGCGCACAACTCTTATACAAGTCTTCCATATTAAAATACAGAGAATAATTTGAATGTGTAAGTATAGTAAAGTGAAACTACGTTTTTATTTCCTCGCGAAAATCACGTATCGTGCATATTATACACTCGGTGATCATTTCAAAAGAACTACAAAAACAAAACACAACATAGCTATAAAATACAAGTCGGAGAGACTGAGTGGACAGTAATTTATGTCAGAATATATTCAAATGTCGCAAGGTGAGAGATGATTAGATAACGCAAGGCACCGAATTAGCTTTTATATGAAAAAAACATGCATCGAGCTATCAAACTGTCGAAATATAGCATCTTACTGACACGAAAATGAAGTCAGAATTCTATAAAAAAAATATTATTTTGAAAAAAATATTCGGTGATGATATTAAAGACAAGAAAGTCTTTAACATTAGCTATCGCCTTAGAGTCCATCCGCGCTGAATTAAAAAAAAACTTAAAAAGTAGCATATGGCTTCTTCCAGACTATGTTCTATACGTGTGCCCAATTCCATGAAAATCCGTTGAGCCGTTCCGGAGATACGTATAAAAAAAAATCGATCCTGTAAGATTAACCTGTTGACTCCGTACTTGCAACATAATTGAATGATAATATTGACATTAGCAACTTGTTATAATTATTAGCTTCAATACAACTATCCTCATAATTTTGTTAATAATATCTAGTAAATAATAAGTAAATTTAATAATATTCTTTTTGTTTGAAGCGGCTAGTTACTTTCATAATATTTATAGAACATGAATAATCTTTGCCTACATCATCATAAAAAAATCGTAAAGCCCTTGCATAATAGTAACCATAACATTTGCCTACCATTGTAATAAAGTCACCCACACAAATTGCAGACGAATCAATAAAAAGACACATATCTTTTGTTTTTTTAAACAACCTTATCACAACCAATAAAGATGTCGCCAAGAACAGGCCAAGATAAACTGGTTGTACGGGTCAAAACAGACGTTTGTTTTTGTTTTGGTCTTATACTTATGTTATCCAACTTGTCGTGCCATTTCATTTAGTGTATGCTTATAACTTTACTATAGAAACTTTAAGTTTGTTGTCCAAGATTTAATTAGAGTTAAAGTCATCGAAACCTTGTAATACAGAAGAAACTAGCTCTTGACTTGACTTGACATCACATTGTATGGGCTCGTTTAGTAAATGTAGTGCTTAGTAACTATTCAATCTACTCTTAAAGGCCCCCAACTTATACCTTAGCGCTTAACTTAAGAATTATTGCTACTTACTTGTGCATTCGTAAAGAAAACACATGCCACCATCAGGCACATAAACAGCAGCGGCTTGACACCCATGTTGACACTTGCCACAAGTATGGCACACTTCCTATGTCACTAGTGTCAATTTGTCAACACCCACTTTCAAAGCGGGAATATTATTTATATCACTTTCATTACTTTTTCTTTAAAAAAAATAAAAAGTTGTAAAACAATTTAATTGTCTTTTGAAATACTTTTACAAAACAATTAGCATAAAAATATGGCCTAAGTCAATAAACTCTATTATGGTAATTTTTGAAATTAATGAAATCAATAAATTTAAATAAAATTATTTAACAAAACAAACTGATTCAGATAAAGCTGGCATATTTGACCTCATTCTCGACATGTAAAGTGATTGAATTATATTGATAATTTAAATAACAAATTATAATAAATGCAAATTGTAAATTCAGTAGCTAATATTTGATAATATTTAACATTTTTTATATTCAATAAAGTTTTCATTCACTTAAAATTCACTTTTCGAGTAAAAGAATAAAAAATAAAATTACGAAAAAAATTCTACAACACTAGTAAAATCAATCGTAATATTCGATGTATTCGTTCGTATTCACGCACGTCGATTACCTTCCGCGGTCGGCGCAAGACTGGTCTTCTGAAGATGTATTTAGATAGTTCCTCTCAGTTCCTCCGAGTTGCCCTCAGTTCCTCCCTCCCGCGGAATCCTGAACTGTCCTTGATAACTCACACACCTATTATGAATGCATCCGACACTTTATGCACGAATTATTTCGTACCGATTCAAATTCTATGTCTATTATTTTTAAATATACGGCGCAATCACGATTTATGAATTATGTAAGGGGAACAGGCAGATATTTTTTTTATATTACGAAGTGGCAAACGAGTAAGCGACCGCCAGAATACGTCGAAATACAGAAGCAAACGTTGACCATAGACATATGCGATTGCAGATGCGTTGCCTATCTTTAAATGATCTAGTGTCTTAAATTACTTATCTATTATAAAAATGTCTAGGTTTTTTAGTAACTATATACATAAAATTAAAGAAAGCAAAGCATTCTGTATATTTAATCAATTCTCTTGGGATTTCACTGACGCATCTTTTAAGTATTATAAGGAAAAAAACTTCATAAAACACCAGGTTTACGCTTAGTCACATGGGAAAGACTAGATGAAATACAATACTAGAACAAACTATAAAACTACAAAGATAATAAAATATTAATAAACAATTATCAATTATTAAACATATGACTGCTTGCACATTTCTGTCTCTGTCTATCCTACTTAGGATAAAATACGTGGGAGATTACTTTATTGGCAATAATCTAAATAACCATGGTGACACATTTGTAAAGTAGATAGGATGTGACTAATATTCCGATATGCCGGTACACCTAAATATGGCTTCATGGGATATATAACCATTATTAAGCTGGAACTATATTAATTCCTTCTCCATTATGTCATTGTAACATAACTCCTTACCAGGCCTGTCTCATAACCTTGAGAATACCAAACATACGCGTCTTTCTTCACAGTGATGAAGAAATATTATAGAAAAATTATGTATTTGATGCATTAGGATCTTAATTGCTTAATATCAGATGAGTTTCGTATGTTCCATATTTTTTAGGCAATTTAAAATATTTTGTAAATCTTACCGTGAGTTTCTCATACCAAAATCTCTGTATCTTTGACAAAAACAGACATTTCGGTCTCAGAAACTCACGGTTAATCATTTAGTTTTATTTGCAATGACAACTTGTATGAAGTGTTGTCTATCTAACTGTCATCGTAGTTTGCTTTAATCGGCTTTAAGCATCGTTAATTAGTATACCAAAGAAACCGCGTGTCAAGGTTTGACTGCCAACTCTTACTAAATCCACTAATGAAGCATTCATGATTTTATAATTTGTACAGTATTTTTACTAAGTTCCCAATATTATCTTGTTTTTTTTTTACTCAAAAATTAATTGATCCATAAATTAAATTTAAAATTAATTAAAAATAAACCGTACTTGTCTTAGTTGGCCTCCTTTTATTTTAGGGTTTGAGAAAGGACGCATAGGAAGGAAAAATATTTTCTTTCTATTCGTCTTGTCCTCCATCAATTCAAGGTAGGCAACGCATAAGCAATTCCGGATATCTATGGTCAGGGGGCGGTTCCCCATTTCGACAATTTCATGTAGCCGCACTCGTTTGTCACTTCTTATTTAAAAAAAAAACTAATGGCCACCCTAGTAAACTCCACAGCGCGTCGCAGAGAGAACTTACAGCTTCAAGAAAATATAATGTATTTTAAGAGATCCTCAGAAGCATCTTTACTTCTAATTAGATATAATGTGAGTTTAATTGCTCGATTCGTTTCGTCGTCTTCAAAATTAGTAATCGGTCAGACATTTCGCACGTCCCGACATCATTGTAAAATGTCCGGCTGCATTTTAGTTCGCACAAATATACACAGCGTGTAAAATTGTAAATGCAAGAGTTTTAAGGACTTATATATACATCGTAAAACTCATATATACTATATATATATATACAGTATCAGAGAAATTAATATAATGTTTCAGAGAATAATAAAACGTAAGCCCATAACTTTTGAAATATTTATTTTCCATAGCCCTTGAGTTTTACGATGTGGCCGACGAGTTACAAGCTCTTCTTAAGTTTCACGAATACATGACAATAACATTTGTTATTTGTTTCCAACGTAGATAATTCAATATTTGACGTATGGCCACATATTTATTATAGGTAAAAATAAAAGAACTAAAGATATAGTTTTTACTTTTTATTACCTTTTGCTGGTCCCCAGGGTTGTCGCAAACACTGTAAGTGGGTCATAATGTTACAATATGATTAATTTCAGTTACATGTATTTTGTACAAACTGCACTGGATGATCAGACTATTGACACATGAAGTCTGTTTGAACTTTTGACCCAGAGATGGCGCTACAAAACATAAGGAACCATCATCAATCCTAGTTAATATACTATTCACTTAGTTAACGTACATTCCAACGTACGATGCGTAGAACTGAAATAAGATTAATGAAGTTCTTCTAGCTGGTTGGACTGCATCAAGTTGATTCGTACTGTTGCAATATTTTAGAAGAATTCGTGTGTTACGTAATCTAGAGTATATTATTTTAGTGTTTGCGGGTTAAACATTATCAAATATTCTTACGATTGAACTTAAAATTATACTAGTATAATAGATTTGTAATAGTCCAAAAACTAATTTGAACAATTCTACTATAAAAATTATAATCCAGATTTTCTGTCATCGTATCATCAAAATACTAAACAACACTAGAACAAATCGCCCAGCAATAAACTTACAGCGAGATGTAGACAAGGCGATGTGAGATTGTCGTGTGATTTCAACAGGCGATGTCGTAAATGTCCGCTGCGAGAGCTGCAAGGGTCAAATGTCATCGAAACTGTCGTCGTCTTCAATAAAAAATATATTAGTATTATATGAAGCATGTTTTAATAAGATATTGTTTTGTAGCTGTAAAGTAGATAGGTTCACGAAGATCCTTATACAATTGTATAGTAATTGTATAGCTATCGCCCGCGACTCCGTCCACCGAAATTAAAAAAGCTCTTAATAAGCCTATGCCTTTTTCAACGATAGCCTTGAAAAAGTTCTACATCTATGGCAAATTTCAGCGAGATCCATGCAGCCGATCTCGAGATACTTGCTAACAAACATCCATCCATACATCCATCTATACATACAAACTTTCGCATTTATAATATTAAAAAGCAGTAAGGATAAACAAAATATCGAATACATAGAAAAAATGTTCTCGTTAAATTGATGAAATAAATATTAAATTCAAACTTCTTTACTATGTAATACATTGAAAAGTGACGATGTTGAAACTAAAAACCTTAACATTTTAAACTCAATTTAATATACATAATAACCCTTTTCTCATATGTTGCGATCGGAGTTGTTAAAGTGATTATCTGTACTTGCCATAATAAGATGCCACAGCGCGCAGTCGACTACAACACCTACTATATTGATTTACAACAAATTAAATGGTCATATCACTGTGTGGACTGAGATACACACGTTTTGACTATTTGTAAAATACGAACACTAAGATATTCGTAATGGCAATTTAAATGGCATAGAATGCAAATGTAATTTTACTATGGTTTTACATTTTAAATAAAATTAATGAATTTTACGAATAAATTTCCTAACCATAGGTTTTTGAGACCAAATTCCCCGTTTAAAACATATTGTTATATATGATATGTTTTAAACAGATATTTTGATCTTGGAAACTAACACTGACAATACGTTGTACAAACTGGTTCTTTTAACACCATAAAAAATAAGAAACAAACAAAGCTGTATTTTTCTTGATTAAGAAATGTGTTCAGTTAAATATTCACTATCGTGTCTACGAAGTCGACTCCTCCGCGTTGTGTCGACAATAAATAAATATTGATTTTGTCATACAACATAAGTCACATGAGAGAACGTTTACAATGTCAATAATTATTTAAATTCATGGCTATTATTAACCACACCAAAATTATCCTCTAATCTTGAGTCACTATGACAGACAATGCTTACTCTTTACAAAAACGCGTAGGTAGACATTTAAACGAACGCCTCTAATTTAAGAAGTATATTATTTTTTCTTATTTTTCTCTACACTTACGTATTTTATATGCTTGCCTGACTAGTTAGTTGATAATAAGTGCGACATATAATATCTACATAAAAAGCGCCATCTATCGGTCCTTAAATTAAAAAAGTGGCAGCGCACTTATGTTCAAGAGTGGACATGAAATAGCTAATAATGATCAAGATTTAACAATAAGCTTTATGATTTGTGCTATCTAAAACTGAATCGTCTCCCGTTAAAATCTACTTTCAAGTTTTACCTTTAACTGGATTAATATGTATGTATGTATGTACGTATGTATGTATGTAAAGATACGTTTCTTGACACTAAAAACTCTCTATTCGTGACTGTAAGTATCGTGACTTCAGGTTCTCCTGAAAGCATAAAGAACCGACACACTTTCTCCTTGTCACCTTGTCTTGTCTCTGTTGTCTCTGGTACAATGCTATGCATATTTCTAATATGAGTCATACATGGAAAGTATGGCAAGTACTAATTTTAAAATCTAGTCAATTAATCTCACGCTTTGTACCTTTAAATATACTTTTAACAAGAGATATTTAAAAAAATAGTCCTTTTCAAACAACGACAGACTGTATTTTATATAGTTTTAGTAGTTAACATACTATATGTATATTTTTATTGAAGAATACATTGGCTACTTATTAAGTTTTTTTTTCCGCGCCGACGGAATCGCGGGTGACAGCTAGTAAATAAATAAAATATTACACGAGAAATCCATTGCATTATGAATATACATTTCTGGTATGCTACAATTTTTAACCTCCCTACCTTAATTTCACAAGTGCGGTCAAATCTGACAGAAAAAGGTTACACTGCCCACCTCTAAGCGATTACAGAGCTATTGTAACGTGTCATCTCTTCAAGCTATCTCTGCCCGCGGGGTAGACAGCGCCGATAAATTGAATCGATAAAACATACGTTTTTTTTTACATCATTTAGAATTAAATT